ACAGATTTTCTTCTTGAATAATCAGGCAGATATATAATTTTTTAAAAAGTAAGTTAAATGACAGGAATTCTGTTTCCAGAAAGATGGAACAGACATACTTTTCCCTATTCCTTCCCCTAAATACAACTAAAAACCCTGGATGTAACATATATAATAAGCATAAGATCCCGAAAGGTGGAGAAAAGCAGACTGGCTAGGGACCTCAGAACACACAGAACCATGTGGTTGTGAGCTCCCTGGGTTTTCCTTTTGCCTTATATAAGCCAAACTTAGAGCTGAAAAAGTCTGTAACTCAGAAACACAAATGGGTGCAAACAAAAAAAAGCCCCAAAAGAAGCCTGCTCTTTCTAGCCAAAGGAACAAGAAAGAGACTTCCTAGCAACATAGAGAACTTTTAGACAGCTGCTCTACTCCAGCCAAACACCACAGAAAACACTGTGGCCCCACCCACACCAGCAAAGACTTCCACCTATACCCAACTCCCCTAATCCCTCCAGTGGGTAAGCATCAGAGAAGGTGAAAAGAGAGACAGGACTTTTGTCCCAGCCATGCACGAGTAGACTACCACCACCAACCCACCCCACCCCTAAGGTGTATCAGTGGAGACCAAGTGGGGAGCCATAACATGGCACTCTTATTCCCTCCCCCACGCCCCCCTCCAGCCAGGGACACATCCATGGAGGTTTAGTGAGGAGCCAGAACTTTCACCCCCACTCAGCAATTATGAGAAGCACCCTCTCAGATGTCAACGGAGACCAAATGGATAACCTGGACTTCTACCCTCAGACAGTATTAAGGAGTTGGCACACATTCCCTTTCAGAAGCCAGCCAAAACACAAAGTTTAAATATGATCCATAGTCTCATAACATAATACTCAAAATGCTGAGGTTTCAGAAATCACTTATACCAAGAACCAGAAAGACCAAAGCTGAATAAAAAAGACAATCAATGGGGCGCCTGGGTGGCTCAGTCATTAAGCGTCTGCCTTCGGCTCAGGTCATGATCCCAGGGTCCTGGGATCGAGCCTCGCATCGGGCTCCCTGCTTGGCGGGGGGCCTGCTTCTCCCTCTCCCACTCCCCCTGCTTGTGTTCCCTCTCTCACTGTATCTCTCTCTGTCAAATAAATAAATAAAATCTTTAAAAAAAAAAAAAGATAATAAATAGATGCCAACACCAAGATGAAAGAGATATAATTGGATTTTAAAGCAGTCATCATAAAAATGCTTTGAACAAGCAACATGAGCCCACTTGAATGAAAAAGCAAAATCTCTCAGCAAACAGAAGATATAAATAAGAACCAAATGGAAATTTTAGAACTGAAATATAGAATAACCTAAATAAATAACTTAATGAGATCATAGTATACATTTTTGCTTTTTTCACTTAATACCTAACGAAAATTTAAGTCTCTCTGTATACACACATATAGCATTTTTATTAGCTATAGTATTCCTCTGTATGAATTAACTATAATCTTCAATTAATGGGCACCTATTTATATTGCTTATAATTTTTCACTATTACAAACCATACATATTTGCATAATTATGTCATTTTTACATGATTATCTGTCATAATTATCTATCATTTTTAGTAAATGACATCACTAAAAGTAACAGTGATAAGTGAAAGGGAATGCACAGTTTAAATTTTCATAAACATTGTCAAATAATCCTCCAGAAAAGTTGTACCAAATACATTCCCACTGATAGTGTATGAGTGTATCTACTTTTTCACATCCTTGCCCAAAACATTGGGTCAATGTTTTTCTTTGTTTTCTAAGCTGAGAGATATCATTGTTATTTTTACATACATTTCTTTATTACTAATATGGTAAATACATTTTCACATGTTTAAAAGCCAGAAATAGTCTTTCTTTTGAAAATTACCAGTGCAGGTCTTTTGTGAATTCTCATTGTTTATCTCACCACTATACAAGATTCCTTGTTATTTCACAAATATAACTGGATGACCTACAAGGTACAAAAATATTTTCAACCATTTTGTGTTTTTTAATTTTGTTGATGCTTTAATTGGTTTAGATTTCATTTTGACAAGTTAAATTTAACTAAATCTAAGTCCTGTTCAGTTAAAGTAGAGAGACATCAACCTAAACACTTAGTCCCAACTACTTTTAGAGCCAGTGCTCGCTTCGGCAGCACATATACCAACTAGTTTTAGAGCCAAACAATCATAAAACCACCCCTCTCACTACTGATGTCTAGAATTAGTCTTTGTTTTAATAAGAAGAAAGAAGAGGATGCTGGCATCCACTATTTACCTGTATCTTCAATTAACAATAGCCTTCTCCAGTTTCCCCAGGTCATAATGATTGGACTTCTGACTCCACTGTTAAATAATATTCCATTTCCCCACTGGGATCCCACTCCTACTCTAAACCCAAGGCTATCTAGCTGATGACTTGATAACCTACCTTCTAGTCCTTTTTCTACTGGAGGCTGGACCCTTCCCCATGGGCTTTCACTGTTAATCTGGAACCCTACCTCGAAATAACCAGAACTCTGAAAACTACTAGACTGCCACCTAACATGGGTCATTAGTATCATTACCTAGAGATTTCTGCTACCACGTTCTGCCCCTCTTTTGGAGACTGACCCATATTCACTAAGCTACCTTGGTATCATAATTTGGACAGCTAGTCAACTCACTTGAGCTATTATTATTCAGCTGGGATAGAAAATGAAGCAAATGCAATGCATTTCTCCTTTTTTTTTTCCTGGACATCTGTTCTCCCTGCTTACTTCTTTTCCCCCACCAACCAGTCACAGGTTCTGGCATACTTTATCATACAACGCTGCCTGGTTTATGACAAGCAGCACTAACATCATAAAAAATAAACACAATCACTGGAATTATAATTTCTGTGATACATAAAATCATAACGAGAAAAAAATAGTTTAAAAGGATACCTTTTAATAATTTGAAAAAATTCAATTATTTTTGAGTAATTTGGGGCACCTGGGTGGCTCAGTTGGTTGGGTGACAGCCTTCGGCTCAGGTCATGATCCTGGAGTCCCAGGATAGAGTCCCGCATCGGGCTCCCTGCTCAGCAGGGAGTCTGCTTCTCCCTCGGACCCTCCCCCCCTCATGCTCTCTCTATCTCATTCTCTCTCTCTCAAATAAATAAAAAAACTTTAAAAAAAAATCAAAAACACCTTTATACATATATACCTTAACGTTATTCCAGTATTTCATAAAAAAATTGTCTGTAATTTTTTTTAAAGATTTTTTTATTTTATTTATTTGACACACAGAGAGAGAGAGAGAGAGAGAGCACAAGCAGGGGGAGCAGCAGGCAGAGGGAAAGGGAGAAGCAAGCTCCCCGAGGAGCAGGGAGCCCGATGCGGGGCTTGATCCCAGGACCCCAGGATCATGACCTGAGCCGAAGGCAATCGCTTAACGAACTGAGCCACCCAGGCACCCCTATAATTTTTTTTAACCAGACCACAAATGTTTATCAGTGCTTGCCTTAACTACCAACTTATTAAAGACAGACATAACATCAATAACCATAATTATAGTATTAATGCTTAGGGCTAGATTATACTACTTAAATTTTTCATTTTCTTCAGTCTAACATTTTCAGGTCATAAATAATTTCTTAACTAATTTTATTTATGTTCCAGGATATTTTCATGCTAAAAAAGAACAGAATTTTTTAATCAAAAATGTCATGGCTCGGGGCACCGGGGTGGCTCAGATGTTTAAGCGTCTGCCTTCGGCTTAGGTCATGATCCTGGGGTCCTGGGATCGAGCCCCACATTGGGATCCCCACTCAGAGGGGAGTCTGTTTCTCCCTCTCCCTCTGCCCTTATCCCCCTGCTCATGCTCTCTCTGTATCTCTCTGTCTCAAATGAATAAATAAAAAAAAATGTCATGGCTCAGTAAGTTAAGTGTCCAACTCTTGATTTCGGCTCAGGTCATGACCTCAGGGTTGTGAGATCAAGCCCCAAAACAGGCTCAGCAATGGGCGTGGAGCCTGCTTAAGAGTCTCTCTCTCGGGGCGCCTGGGTGGCTCAGTCAGTTAAGCGGCTGCCTTCAGCTCAGGTCATGGTCCCAGGGTCCTGGGATCGAGTGCCGCATTGTGCTCCTTGCTCAGCAGGGAGCCTGCTTCTCCCCTGCCTGCCGTCCTGGAGCTTGTGTTTGCTCGTGCGCGCGTGCGTGCGTTTTGTCAAATAAATAGAATCTTAAAAAAAAAAAAAAACTATTGTTTAAGAGTCTCTCTCTCCCTCTCCCCTGCCCCTCCCCTGCCTTTCTCTCGCCCTCCAATTTGAAATTATATCAAAATAAAAATTTAAGCAAGTATTACCATGCCTGCAAATTTCTTTTAACTGGACAACTTTGCACAATTTCCCAGTATATATGTCAAATCAGATTTACTCCTTTCTCAAAACAAATTACATTATCATGGATGGATACTTGTAAATTTGGTCAAGATAAGTACATAAGCTGAAAAGTAATAATTTCTAAAATGTGAGGTGCCCAGAAAAAGCTAGAAACATTTAGATGTCTACCAAGGGTTACATAGGTAACATTGCTTCTTTTAAAATCCTCACCCTTACCTGCGGAGTTTATCCTGAGAGTGTAAAACCGGGGAAAAGAACAAATTGCTCTGAGTGTCTATTACTATTCTTTCGTATATCGTAGTAAATGCATGGCCTAATATCCCTTGCAATGTGTATTTCAGGCTTTCAATACACACTGAAAACTGCAATCATTTTGAATCACATAAGATCTGAGCAAAATCAGTGGGAAAACATGTATAAGAAATAATACGAAAACGTTTTTTTAAGACTCAGATTTTCAGAAGCTTAACATTAGTTCTGAATTCTTGAAACTTACCATTTCTATTTCTAGGCACTTATTACTTAACTAGCAATCAACAAATCACAATAGCAACTTTGTAAATAGTAACAGTTTACTTTTGGAAAACAGTAATTAAAATTTTTAAATCCAGGAAAAAAATTAAGGCACTTACAGATGTCTGAGACATACTTGACTGTTGTGTGACACTTCCTGTGGGGGATGTAGATGGTCTTCCACTGGATAAACTTGCCTAAAATAATAAGATCTTTATAATAGATCTATAAGAATCTGAAGTTAAAAGCTTTTGGTACCAGGATACCACAAAACCACGATAAAAGTCAAAATGTCTACATTATAAACCAATCCATTTCACAGTCAACATAGATTAAGCTTTGGCCAAACAGATTAAGAAGAAAATAAAAAGCTGAACGATAAAAACAGAGGACCCAAAGGCTATTCTTATTTTAATAGCTGCACTCATCATCAGTTTTACTCATCAGTTCTCTGTCTTCTTTGAAGTGGAACCACCATTCCAACATTATGAAAAAGAAATTGGAGCTACATGAAGTGCCAGTTGGTTTCAGTTTCCTAACTTGTATCATGAACATGAGGTTATTTAAAATTACACTACAAAGAAGCAGCAACAGCTGCGGATGTGTTTCTAACAGAAATAACTCTTTTTCAGGTTTAGTCAACTGAGATCCTTCTCTAGTAAGAAGATTTAAGATTAAATCTCACATATAGTTTTATTTAAATAAACAGAATAATGAAAATCTTTTTTAAAAAAGCATTTAATCAAAATTATCCTGTTATCAGTAGGAAAAGTATGTGTGGATATTAGAAAGGTGCATGAATACATATTTTAGACAGAAAATTTCTGGAGTGATACATATTAAACAGTGGCCACCATTGAAGAATGAAAAACAGTAGGGGTTTGGAAAAGGAACACCTCCACTTTACCTCTTATAAACAATTTTACAGTGTGATTTTTTTAATGAATGTAAATTACTTACATTAAAAAAAAACTTTTTTACTGAAATGTAAACACAAATCATGCAACCCGAAGTATTCACTGTTGTACCTAGAATTTTATACACAAATTCATGACACTAGCATAGTATTTCTACAACGCCAATAAAAAGCAGTGCGGTAAAAGCTAGAGACAGAGTACCATATAAAACAAAGCCATATTTTTTAAATTAACTGCTACTTGGCCACCTATTAATTTCTTTAAGAAAAAATAATCACAGGACATTTGAGAATTCTAAAATAATAGCCAATGTATTTATTTTCAGTAATTATCTGCAAATAACGTCAACTTTAGTCTCACAAATTCTTATTTCAGTCTCACCTGAACAGCAGCAAGGCTCTGAAGCTGGGAGCTGCTTAAGTGCTGCTGCTGAAGAGCTGCAGTGTGCAGCATCAAGTGCTGCTGCTGAGCCGCGTACATCTGCTGAAGGTACTGAGCAGCTGAGCTGGGGGGGCGATGCAAGGCCTGCTGGATCACCTGTGATGAGCCAATTGCACCAAGGTCAAACCATGAGCTTAACATTAATCTTAATCATAAAATAAAGTATAACAAAACTGGCAGTTGAAAACTTCACTACTGTAATAGTCAATGTCAAGTTTATTAACACACATACAAAAAAAGTTTATTAACACAGTTCTCTCCTAGTTACGTATCACTGAGATTCACTATTCTATACAAATTAAAACCACCCAAAGAGGCAATTCACAAAAGAAAAAAAGAGCCAAACAAGCACTTGAAAAGATCTTCAATCTCATTAGTAGTCAAAATTTACAAATTAAAACAAGATACTATTTTCCAACTTTCAGATGAATAAAGTTTTTTTTTTAAAGATTTGATTTATTTGACAGAGGGACACAGAGAGGGAACACAAGCAGAGGGAGTAAGAGAGGGAGAAGCAGGCTCCCCGCCCAGCAGGGAGCCTGATGCGGGGCTCAATCCCAGGATCCTGGGATCATGACCTGAACTGAAGGCAGACGCTTAACACTGAGCCACCCAGGTGCCCCAGATGAGTAAAGATTTAAAAGAGTATTACCACTAAATGGGAAAACAGATACTCCCATACAGTGTTAGTAAGAATGTAAATTGGTATAACTATTTTAGATAAAACTTAGTTGAATTCGGGGCTTGGGTGTAGAGAGGAATATGCATAACCCTGCAGTTGTTATAAATAGTAACAAAGAGGCGCCCGGGTGGCTCAGTCAGTTGAGGGTCTGTTTTGTTTTGTTTTTTTTTTAACAGATAATGTATTGTTTCAGGGGTACAGGTCTGTGATTCTGACTCTTGATTTCAACTCAGGTTATGCATGATCTCAGGGTCAAGAGATTGAGCCCCGTGTCAGGCTCTGCACTGGGCATTGAGCCTGCTTAAGATTCTCTCTCCCTCTCCCCCATCCCCCCCAACTCTCTCAAAAAAAAAAAAAAAATAGTAATGTAGATCAATGCTGCCCAATATAGCAGCCACTAGCCACATACGTCTCCTGAGTACTTACAAATGTAGCTAATGCAACTATGAAAATCAGTTTTTAATTTTACTAAATTTTAATATAAATAGCCACATGTACCTAGGAGCTACTGTGTATTGAATACAGACATATCTACATTTATCAACAAGAAAATTCCCAAATATATCATTAGGTGAAAAAAAGCAGATTACTAAATAGTGTATAGGATACCATTTTTATATTAAAATATTTGAAAGAATATTCAGAAAAACATTAGAAGACTACCAACAGATAACTAGATTCAAGGTGATTTTTACCTTCTCATTTGTACTTTTTTTTAAATGTCTGAAAAAAATCTGAGTAGTATTAATAATCACATAAAATTATAATGCTGTTTCATGTTTTAAATTATTACATAATGACTTCTTTAGATGTTTTTTAAATGTCAGATTCCTTTCAACACAGACTAAAACTATTCTAACTAAAAAGAATTCCTGAAAAAGTGTTGATTACTGTCAATATGTTAATGAAATATAAAATCTGAGCCTGAAACTTCATAAATGTAAAAAAGTATTCTAAAACCAGAGAAAAATCCTTTATCTGTCCAAACCCATAAGTCAGACTACACTAGGCCTCTGCAACCACGTCCCAAAGTCATATCATGCCCCCAGTAACAATGAAACAGCACAGAACCCTAATCTCTGCATCAAACCACAGAGTTTTCAGAGCTAAGGGAGTAAGAGAGCCATAATCCTACAGCTTGAGGTCTGAGTCAGGACACCATGAACCACAAAGAAATGAATCTCTTCATCCAAATTCCAAGAAAACATATTTCCCTGTGTTTACTTTCATGTATTCCTATCTCATCTCTCCAACTATAGATTACTAAACCTGCTACAGACTCTTGTCACAAAATCTATGTAGGCTTTTGACCCCTAGTTGCAGAAGACTATAGACCAGCATTAAGTGATTTAGAATTACAACAGTATGTCTTTTTGGTCAGGTAAATCTATATATGCTCTTTAAATTACATAACAAAACTAAAATCAAACATTTCAGTTTGATGAAATGAATAATCTATTTGACACATTTTTGGCAGAGTGTAGTTATTTCTTCTATTGTCAGCATAGTCTTTCATTACCATTCAACCATACACTCATGGGAGAGACTCTTTAAATACAAGTTAAAGGTACAACACACTGTTCTTTTATTATTCCTCTAAAGAAATGAAGAGGGCAAAGAGAATTCACAGGGCTGAGAAAGAATGCTGGAAGGTATTAAAGAACTCCTTAGGTAATTCAATAAATATTGATTTGATTACATTTTAGGGGAAGCAATTATATGACTTCATTAGAACTAGTGTTAGTGCTATTTGTGAGATACATGTATATCTACACATTTCCAGTAACACTATTTTTTATTAACATATCCAGCTTAGGTAAAAACTAGAGATCAAAATGGCACATTAAAATACCACATTATCTGTATGCTCAAAGATCTAGATACTCTTTCCTATATCCTTTTCCTCAAAGAAAGGTGAAGAACATTAAAAACACATTCCTCATTCCAGTTTGAACTTTTGCTGAACTAACTCAGTCTCCAACAATTCCGATTCCACCCCATGGTAACTTCAGAATCCTAAACAACAGAACAGTTAAATAGCAATGGAGTGGAGAGAGGAATATGTTGCAAACAATAAGTTATTTTCAGAGTAGAATGAAATTACGGAGATCGTAGAGAAAGTAAGCAGGTATAACAAAAAAAATAAAAACTCACAGTGGGTAAAGGCACAACTCTAAAACCAGACAAAACACCGGTTTTCCCACTTGTAAAATGGAAATAATAATAGTATCTATTTCATAGAGGTCTGGTGAGGATTAAAAGAGATAATCCACGTAAAGCATTCATCAAATGCTTGGCACATACCAACTGTTCAATAAATATTAGCTATTATTATTGACTGGGCATATATATTGTGCTCCACACAGTTCTAATGCTTCCTTTAATCCCCATAACTGGGGCGCCTGGGTGGCTCAGTCAATTAAGGCTCCGATTCTTGGTTTTGACTCAGATCATGATCTCAGGGTCGTGAGATTAAGCTCCCCACGACCAGTTCACACACAACCAGGAGTTCCGCTTGGGATATTTTCTCTCTCTCCCTCCCCTTTGCCCCTCCCCTCGCTTGAGCTCATGCACTTGCTCTCACTCTCTAAAATAAATAAATAAAATAAAGTATTTTTTAAAAATCCTCATAACTAAGGAACTAGGTGGTCTCATCCTCATTTTACAGTTTCCTGATGCGCAGAGATCACGCCCCTCAGTCAACACTACACAGCTATTAATGATTAAGAAAATGGAATTCAAACACAGAGCATATCAAACTGCAATGCCCATGCCCTTTTTATGCAATACCATATTGTCTCAACCTCCGTTATTATAAAGATTAATTTTCTCAACCAAGTGAAGACCTAAAACTTTTCCTAGTTAAATATTCCCTACCCCCTCTGCCCGCAGGAGCTTTTAAATGGATCCTCCTACTTAGGTACTTAGGCCACTTGAGTTTAAAATGAACCTCTTAACACATCTACAGACCTGAATAGATCTTCCTAAGTCTCTATTTTGGGTTCAAATACAAAAGAACCCAGAAAAACCTAGAGCCATTCTGCACATTAAGGCTGTAGGTTGAGTGTCTCCACATTGCAGCAGCACCTAGAGACCTTCCAATTATAATTGTCCTGACCTATCATTTTATAAGCCACATGATGACAAATATAAGCCCTCTCAATAGAATGATTATTAAATAACTTTTTGATTGTTTCAAACATTAACAACCCTACCTGTACTCATTTAGAGAATATCATGTGACTCATCTGAGGGTGTGAAACAATAGCTTCATCCGGCTTCAGAGAAAAGTAATGACATGCTAAGTCCCAGCCTACCCCTCATTCTAACTGAAGTACCTGCACAGCATGGCGGTCTGAGCCACTGTAGACAGAGATCTGTGGCTGCTGCATTCGAGAGGAGGAGGTGGTGATGGTGGTGGTGGTAGTGCTGCTGGTTGTTGTCGACACAGAAGATGTGCCAGGGTTTGGCTCACTATCCATAGCTGTACTGTGGTCCTTGAATCTGTCAGATAACACACAGGATTTGCATTGGCAAAAGCATTATTTCATGGGTTTTAAAGAATATTTATTTCAAAGAAATAATCAGCAACAATCTAAATTTTTAAGACGACCCTCCTAAAATGGCATGGATCGCACACAGTCACCATAAACACTTAGAAAGGAAAGGTACTTCACAAATATGTAGCACATTTGAAAATTAATACCCACTAAATTTGCGTTCAATTGATTCAGGATATGCAACTTAAATAAATCCTGGCCTAAACTTTATCTTTCCATCATTGAAAGATAAGTGAAACCAAAATAGGTTTATAAGAGAATACTAAACTACCTAAAAAATAAATACTTAAGCAGCATCAGAGTACTTTAAAATATTTCTTTACATTCTTTTGTCCATATTAATTACAAATTAAAGTAATTCTTATCTATACGTTAAAATAGGATGCCTAAGAACTTGTGTTAATTGGCTTATTTCTGGTTACCATATGCACTCTGCTTTATTTTTTTTTTAAGATTTTATTTATTTATTCATGAGAGACAGAGAGAGAGAGAGAGAGAGAGAGAGGCAGAGGGAGAAGCAGGCTCCCAAGGAGCAGGGAGCCCGATGCGGGACCCGATCCCAGGACTCTGGGATCATGACCTGAGCTGAAGGCAGATGCTTAACCATCTGAGCCGCCCAGGCACCCGCACTCTGCTTTAAAAATATGTTCTCAGGGCGCCTGGGTGGCTCAGTCGTTAAGCATCTGCCTTCGGCTCAGGTCATGATCCCAGGGTCCTGGGATCAAGCCCCGCATCAGGTTCCCTGCTGGGTGGGAAGCCTATTTCTCCCTCTCCCACTCCCCCTGCTTGTGTTCCCTCTCTCGCTGTGTCTCTCTCTGTCAAATAAATAAGATCTTTAAAAAAATAAAAAATAAAAATACGTTCTCTTATTAAATAAGTTACTTTAAAAAATAATTCTTTTAAGGTTTTATTTTTTAAGTAATCTCCACATCCAACGTGGGGCTCTAAAGGGCATCTGGCTGGCTGAGTGGGTAGGACATCTGACTCTTGATCTCAGGGTCACCCTGAATTTAAGCCCAACGTTGGGCACAGAACTTACATTTAAAAAAAAAGTAAAAATAGTAATTCTTTATTAACTCACGCTGGCTTTTCCCTAGTCTACAACACTGTCCTTACTACATCTAATAACTCTGGTTATACTTAACAGCAGATTACGCTGGGAAATCAGAGAAGGAGCTGACAACAATTTCTTTATGCTTCTTTACAAAAACCTCTTTTCACAAAAAATTGCTCCAAATTCTGAAAACAGCACAATTATGTCACTTTCCTTATGTATGAACAGTAAAGTTCATAAACTATATTTTTGTACCAGGCTTTCTGATTCCTTCCCCTCTAATATTGCAAACTCACTTCATTATTGGGTATAAACTTCCACTTAACACTGAATCTATACTTGAATATATTCAAACAACATTGTATTTTAGGTCAATTCTGAAGGCCTCAATATTGCTAGAAAGAAGAACTACAACAGTTTTTGTAGGGTTAGAAATGCACCAGAATGGTGAAATGCACACTTGAGAATACACCGGTTTTATCTGCCTTTCTTAACCCCTTTTCTTGAGAAACAAAATCTGACACCCATCACAATCAGCATCATTGACAAGAATGTAACAAGAACACTTTCTACTTCATGAAAAGACAAAGGAATTTGGCACTAATTGTGCATACATACGCTATACCCATATGGTGTCCTTTTATGTACAAATATTCTTTGTTCTTTACATCATTTATGTAAATAGTACTTATATGCTCTTCAAGGAAGTAAAAAAAAACCCTCAATTTAATAAAAGGAAAAGTGAAAGGAAAACAGTGGAGGAAAACAGCTGACTTCACTTTTCTGATTGTAATGACTCACACATCTTCATGCTTCTCTGGGTTTTTGTTGTTTTTTTTTATAGTTTTTCAAACTGCCTTCCAATCATCAAATCACAGCATCATATGGTAACTGTTCAACATCATTCAGATTTAGTGGTAGATAAGGTAAACTTTTTACCAAATTACTGAACGTCCTAACACTCCCGAAACACATAGCAGCTGTGATATGCAAAAAGCCAGTTTAAATTCTGGTCCTTTTAGAGTGCTATTCTATGCAACCATGTCCTCAAACTCAAACCCCTTCTTGGTAGATTTGTTCAGTAACAAACCAAAAATGGTCACAGATAATCCAAATTCTAGGCACAAGTCTAAACATCAGTGAGTAGAATTGGCCAAACCATTGTATTGCACTTGGAGACCTGGCACAAAAGAACAATTTTGCTAACTCCACCGTCTGTGCGTGGTACAGTCTGCAAAATAGAGCTGGCAGTCCTGGTACACAAGAGGCCTACCCAGGAAACACTAAGTTTGAGTAGCTAGCTAAGGATACCATCACACCACACCGCCACACAAGAATACGGCCCTCTAAGGAGGCATCAACACTGCAGCCAGAGGCCCAAGGGAAGTAAGGTCCTTCTATCTGGGGTGTTTTCTGCCTGGCCAGACCCGCAGGAACACGACCCCCCCGCCTCCGCTCCAAGGCCCACGCTGGGTGGGACACCTTCTCCACGCCTCCCGGGGGAGGGCGGTGAGCAGCCTCGTCTCCGGTTCTCCCACTGAGGAGGAGTGGGGTGACGCCGGGGCGGGAAGGAGGGAAGCGCGAAGGAGGCCTGGCAGTGCCCGCCCAACCCTCCCCAGCCTCCGCGGGCCCCCGGCGCGGGCATCCGTGACAAGGCTGCCCGCGGGGCCCACCTGCAGGGATGACAGCGCCTAAGGAACCCACCGGGGCTTAGCTCCCGGAAGACGCAGCAATCGGGGTCCCTGGGGTGACTCTGCGCGTAGAGCCCCGCCGATTTGGGATCAGACGGCGGAAGGGGCGCTCCCGCCTGGAGGTAACTAGACCCTTACAGTTGGCCTCCGCCCCCCGATTTGGGCCAAGCAGGATCCTCAACGATAAGGAAGCTCTTGGGTATCCCTTTCCCTGCACTGCCCGCTAAAGAACCTTGCGCTTTCCCCTTAGGGGACATGTCGCTGCCCCACTCGCCCCCCGGTTACGACATCAGTCACCAGCAAGTCACTCACTCCGCTTCCGCCATCTTCTCTCCTCCATCACTAACACGGGCTGCGCATGCGCCCCCCGGCGGCGAGCGGAGGGGCGGGGTCGACTCACCCCTGGGGCCCCCGAGGTCACGTGGCGTCCTCGGTTTCCAATCCCCCCTCCCACCTGAGGCCTTGCTCGCTCTGCGAAGTGAGCAGGTTTCCCCAATTTGGATACCAGTGTCTCCCCTCCAGCCCCTCGCTTTCTCTTGCCTAAGGTCTTACTCTTGAGGTGGGGTCTGTAACCAAGATATAAAAAGTTCTGTTTAGACTGTTAAATTACAAATTTAAAGAACATCTCAAATATACGAAAGCCTATGTAAATTGCAGAGAGTGAGATGAAAGAAAAATACAACGAAGATTGGATGCTTGAAGTTTCAGTGGGAAAGGAAATGCTGTGGTGGCTGCCGGGCTTGTTACCTGGGGCTCAATGGAGTTGTGGGTCCAAACCAGCGGTTCCTCTCTCAGGCTCAAAGATAGTGTTCCAGACGCTGGCGAGGTTAAGGAATCACCCTAATGACCCTATGAATATCATTCATGTCTAGGACATGAATTTCCTGAGCACTTGGTAGGCATTGCAAACTTGAATACCAGAGAGAATAAGCAGGAAAGGCCACCAGTTTGCCAATGTTTTACGGTACAGTATATATGGCAAGTACTCTGAGGCAGAATGAGATAAACAAAGATGAGTATAAAAAGTCCCTGTCTTCCAGGAAGTCTTAATCTGGAGAGTGGAGAGAGGTTTGTAGAAATATCCGTGCAATATAAGTGTTCTGAAACAGATCCATTAAGTGCTTTGGCAACCTTAAGTTCATGGAATAATCAATCTTTACTACCCTTAACAGAAAAAAAAAAAAAGTGTACTGATCACAAGCAATGTCTTCTTTTGGTATTTCTTAAGATGGTGGAACTGCACTAATTTCAAGACCTGAGAAATGAAGTATTGATATAAATCCATCATAAAGTGTAATGTGGTCTAATGAAAAGTATACTTAATCTTAGAAATCTTGTGTTTCGGCTCTCCCTAGGGTAGGGAAAAGAATACTTCCAATGTAAACTTAATTGTCAGTGTACCTCTTTTCCCCTACTCTGAGAACATGGGTTTTTTGTTTTGTTTTGTTTTAATTATTTATTATAGAGAGAGACAGAGCACAGCAGTGGGGAGGGACAGAGGGAGAGGGAGAAGCAGGCTTCCTGCTGCGCAGGGAGCCGGATGCGGGGCTCCATCCCAGGACCCTGGGATCATGACCTGAGCTGAAGGCAGACGCTTCACTGACTGAGCCACCCAGGCGCCCCTTGTTTTGTTTTTTTAAAAGACTTTATTTTTTTAAGTAATCGCCACACCTAACGTGGGACTTGAACTCACAACCCCTAGATCAAGAGTTGCACACTATACTGACTAAACCAGCCAGGCACCCCTGAAAATGTGGCTTCTTTACCTTATTTTCCTCTCTGAGAGCAGTGCCTTTCCTACTACTCCTAGGAGAACTCACTGAGAAAGTCCCCTTTGAAAAGTCCCTGTAGATGCTTAAAAATAAGATATTACCACTTTTTCTTTCTTTTCTGACCTGCCCGTATGATGTCATTGTCATTTGACTCTCAAGAATCAACTGTCCATTGGTATTGCTGAAATTTTTGTTTAGAGAAACAAAAGTGAAGAAAGCACAGTCTTTTTTTTTGTTAAGATTTTATTTATTTGACACAGAGAGAGAGCACGCACGCACACAGGCAGGGGGAATGGCAGTCAGGGGAGAAGCCGGCTCCCCACTGAGCAAGGAGCCTGATGTGGGACTCGATCCCAGGACCCTGGGATCATGACCTGAGCCAAAGGCAGAAGCTTAACCAACTGAGCCACCCAGGGGCCCCAAGAAAGCACAGTCTTAAACCTAAAGATGGAAAATGCATAATTCAAAGGAGTGTTTGGAATAAATGGGGCAAAATTGTTCCTTTCATCCGTCTTTTCCTTGAACATCTAAGGCCTATGTCTATATTGTCACCTAGTGAAGATCGGCTTTAAAACTCCAGATGGATGTTAGGTAAAGTCAGACCAGTATTGCTTTTTAAGAACATTTCCAAACTCAATAGTTATTATAACATCAACCATTTCTACAGCGTTTTACTAAGTGCAGAGGATTTTCACAAACTCATTTACTCTTCGCAACAACCCTGTGATGTAATTATCATCATTCCCATTTAGCACAGAAGTATAGTGAGGTGATTAAGTACCATTGGTGTCTGTGTTCGAATGTACCAGATGCAGGGTTCTAATTTAAGCTTCCCATCTCCAAAGCCAAGTTGTTGTTTTTTTTTCACAGCAGTATTCAGCAAGCCCCTGTGAGATATGTTAGAATTGAAAAAGTATAAGGGACTACTCTTAAGAAATTTATCATCACTTACCTGATCAGACAGAGGAAGGTGTTTTACTTCTTTGTGATTTCCTAAGGAAAGGATGTATATGGTGTGCTAGCAGGTTGAACTTCTTTCTAAAGTTTCCAGGAACCATTACCTTGGAGAAGTGCTAGGATCCTATTTGATTTTAGAAAAACCCCTCTAGCTTTGTGAAGAATGGATTGGAAGAAAATGAAAATGTATACATGGCAACTAACTGAGACACTGTATGAATCCTAAGAGAAATGGTAAAGGCTACAGAAGTGGAAGAAAGGGCTAGATTAAAATTTTATTTCCTTACTTGCATGAGTCACACATCAAGTGCTCAATAGTGACAAGTATATTGTGCAGTGCAGATATAGAATATTTTCATCATTACAGAAAATTCTACTGGAGAGTGCCAGTTTGGACTCTACTAGCAAACCACTATTTCTGCCTTAGTCAGTTGGTGCCACTTACAACAAATACCATCGATTGGGTGGCTTAAACACCAAACAGTTATTTCTTACAGTTCTGGAGGCTGGGAAGTCCAAGATCAAGGTGTCAGCAGATTCAGTGTCTAGTGAGAACCCTCTTCCTAGTTTGCAGACAGCTGCCCCCTTGCTGTATCCTCACGGTGTATCAGACATGGGGACCATAGACATTTGGGCTACTTCTTCATGTAACCCACTTGTGCCTTCACAGCCTGCTGGGCCCTTTCCATTTGATGATGGAATTCTTCTATGCACCCCCAACTTCATGGCTTAGTAAGTCAGATAATACTCAGTTTATGATAGCTCAGGTCTCATGGTAACTGGGTGACCCATTCAGTCTCTACTGAGGCCCAGGAGCAGGCCAAGAGCTGGTTCTCAAGAGAAAAGTAGTTATTGGGGCGCCTGGGTGGCTCAGTCATTAAGCGTCTGCCTTTGGCTCAGGTCATGATCCCAGGGTCCTGGGATCGAGCCCCACTTCGGGCTCCCTGCTCAGCAGGAAGCCTGTTTCTCCCTCTCCCTCTCCCTCTCCTCCTGCTTATGTTCCTGCTCTCACTATCTTTCTCTCTGTCAAATAAATAAATAGAATCTTTAAAAAAGAAAAGAAGAGAAAAGAAAAGAAGTTATCTGCAGAGGATGGTAGGGCTTTTTTCCCCAAAATTCTTCTCTTTTTTTTATTGTAGCTAAAATTTTGGCCTCTTTATTGATCTTGGGTCATATATTTGGCTTGGAAACAATGTACAACAAATAGTTCCAATTAAGATATCACAAACTAGGAGCACCTGGGTGGCTCAGTTGTTGGGTGTCTGCCTTCGGCTCAGATCACGGTCCCCAGGGTCCTGGGATCAAGCCCTGCATCGGGCTCCCTGCTCAACGGAAAGCCTGCTTCTCCCTCTCCCACTCCCTCTGCTTGTGTTCCCTCTCTTGCTGTGTCTCTATTTGTCAAATAAATAAAATCTTTAAAATATGTATATATATCACAAACTAAATTTTTCTTCCAGATCTCTAAATGCTCATGGAGAGCCAACTTCCATGGTACATGGCACACAGCGCAGGCTTGAGAGTCAGAACCACAGAAAATATCCATGTAAGCCAAACAAGAAAGATGCTATTTGCTTCTCATGACATAAACATTGCCTGAACTTATCTAACCAACAAACTTATTTTTCTAAAAATTAATCTGTGACTGAAAGTACTATCGTGTTTGCTGGGTGCCATTCTCATTTGAATCATTTCCAAAAAGTCTACAAATAACTCAGAACTAGAAAGTGGCCCAAGTGCTAAGGCTGTCTATGGCTCTTGCTACAAAATATTTGCCAGTCTAATTTGAATGTTTCAAAAGAATGACAGGAATTACAGGGTTCTTCTTGATTTCAGGAGAACTTCCCAGAAGGAGGTGGAGGACCAAGAAATCCACCTGCCTGCTTGGTGGCAGCTCGTGAAGGGGCAAGACCAAGAATCTTCTGGATGTTCTGTCGAATTGACATGGTACAGAGAACATACAGAAAAATGAAGGAACAGTCTGTGGTGTCATCCCCTAGCAGGTTTTGATGAGACAGTCCTTGGATATAGGAAAGGGGGGTGAAAGGGAGCTTTGCCACCACTCTACCATCAAATATGGAATTGAACATTTCCATTAGGGCCGTAAAACAAAAGCCAATTGCAAACATGGATTTCATTTAAGACCATGGATAGGTCTCTGTTGTTATTTTTCAGTTTCTCTTCTTGCCTCTCTATGTTCTTTTTTTGTTGTCGACCGGCTGACTCTGTTATTCTTTCCTTTTCCGGTTTTTTACTCTGTTTTTCCACCTCCGCTTTCAGTCTCTTGTACTTGTCTGTCCTGTAAACCAGGACCCAGGTTATACCCTCGGCAAGAAGAGCCGTGCACACGCAGATAAAAACGATGAGCAGTGTGTCCGCGAACATGGTGCTCATCTCACACTTTCCTCTCTGCATTCCCACCCGCCAGTGGGGAAGTGCTCGAGAGCCTGCAAAAATTAAATGACAACGACTTCCCTGGATTTCTGGACCACCGAGTAACACTCTCTGACAGACTAGAGTCCCCAAAATTCTAAGGGTCTGCATGGTGATTCACTATAGGGGCCTATCAAAAGCCTCAAACAGCATCCCCATCTGCAACATACACTTCAAGCA